TTATACCTACTGTATCTCATATAGGACTCTAGCTGTGAAAGCCTTTAAGAATAGTATTATATAAAAACAGACACAAAGATCAATGGAACAGGATAGAAAGCCCAGAAATAAACCCATACCTTTATAGTCAATTTTAATATTTGACAGAGGAAGCAAATACATACAATGGGTTAAAGACAGTATTGGGAAAATTATGTAAGTCCAGAAAAATGACCTTAGACATCACACAAAAGAATAAATTCAAAATGAATAAACTGAAGTATTACACTTAAAACCATAAATATCCTAGAAGAAAACATAAGCAGCAAAATCTTGGACACTGCTCATAGCAATATTTTTTTTCTGATTTACCTCCTCAGACAAGGTTAACAAAAGAAAAAATAAAAGAGACTACATCAAACTAAAAAGGTTTTGCACAGCAAAGGAAACCATCAACAAAATCAAAGACAACCCACTGAATGGGAGAACATATTCACTGATATATCTGTAAGGGGTTAATATTCAAAATTTATTAAAAAACTTATAAAACTCAACACACAAAAAATAAAAAATCCAATTAAAAATGGGCAAAGGACCTGAATAGACACTCTGTGAAGAGGACATACAGGTAGTTAATAGACATGAAAAGATGCTCAATGTCACTAATCATCAGAGAAATGCAAATGAAAACCACAATTAAATATCACCTCACACCTGTCAGAATGGCTATTATCAATAAACAGCAAGTGCTGGGGAGGATGTGGAGAAAAGGGAACCCTTTTGCACTGTTGGTGGGAATACAAATTGGTGCAGACACTGTAGAAAGTAGTATGGAGTTACCTCAAAAAATTAAAAATGGAACTGCTTTATGACACAGTGACTCCACTTCTGGGAATTTATTCAAAGAAACCTGAAACACTAATTCTAAAGTACATAAGCACCCCTGTGTTCAGTGCAGTGTTACTACAATAGCCAAGATTTGGAAGCAGTCCAAGTGTCTGCTAGTAGATAAGTGGATATAACTATGGTAAATTACACAATGGACTACTACTCAGTCATAAAAAAAGAAAAGAAAATTTTTCCCTTTGCCACAGTGTAGACAGACCAGGAGAACATTATGCTAAGTGAAATAAGCCAGTCAGAAAGACAAATATCATATGACTTCATTCATATGTGGAATCTAATGAACAAACTGAACAAGCAAAATAGAGACTCACAGATAGCAGACTGATAGCTCTGGGGGGTTGTGTTGGGGGGTGCAGGAATATAGACATATACAACAGTGTGGTGATTGTGGGGGAAGGGTAGAGGTCAAAGAGGGCATAATGGGAATAAATAAAAAATACAATAAAAAACTTTTAAAGAATAGTATTATAGTATTTTATGGAAATTTGCTTTTTTGGCTTGTACAGACTACCCTCTGGACATTGAAGAATTAAGACCTCACCTCCATGTACATTTAAATCAAAAGTACAAATTCTCTTCTAAAATTTACTCCCAAGTCTTTTAAAAACTCAGAGCTTTAATTTCACTTTTTTTCTATATTATAACAAAATCCTAATGAGTGCAATAAAGTGTCTTAGAGCTAAAAAGAAAACACAGGATAACTGTTACTATTGAGGGCTTGATAATGAGCTGTTTTTTACATAGAGCTATGTAGTTAAAGGAAAAGAACAAGAGTAGAACACATCTGTCTGAACTAAGCCCATTTAAAAGTGTTTTTTGATACATCAAGGTTGAGGGTTTGATTCCCAGACAGGGCACATACAAGAAACAAGCAATGAGTACATAAGTAGAACAATAATTGATGTTTCTCTCTCTTTCTTCATCTCTCTCTAAAATCAATAAATCAAATCAATCAAAAACTGCACAGGTTTAGAAAGAGTGAACAGAATTTTTCCAGCACCAAATAGCAATTAGACCTTACAAGAATCTTACTCTTTCAGCCTCAATATTAAACCCAAAGAGAAAATGATATGTGGTATGAAATGGTAAAAACAGACCCAGTACACCTTAGCTTCTTTTATTGTTCTTCCCAATTTCCCATAACCTCTCTCCCATCTCAGTTAGTGACAGATAAACCAATACCCCTTCAGGAAAGGTTACTACAAGTAGGTTTTCAAAAGTCCTGTCAAATCTCAAATACTGATATTTCAGAGGTAAAAAGCAGTGATCAAACACCAGAGTTGACATCCTAATACTCTTTTCCCACAATATTTATACGAACAATGCCCAACCACTTTTTTCATCACCACACACATAGAAAGTTGTAACACTGTGTTTATAGGCACAATGGAGATAAACAGAAAAGTGGCTGCTGCCTCGGGCCACCACCTGGCTAAAGTTACTAGCAACCCCAGCCCCCACAGGACCAAGTGCTGAGATCAGAATCTCATGTTCCTCAGCCTTTTAGGATTAACTGTAATAACAAACACTCTCAGAATCCTTACTTTCAAATCCAGACTCTGCTCCACACTAGCTGCCTAGACACCTGCAAATAATTTCACTTCGTAAAGTGTGGGAATACCTCTCTTGCAGAGGCATTATTGAGATTAGAAATAATATAAGCAAAGCTTTTATCAAAGGGCTAGGCAGGCAATGTATAAAGACTGTTGTTATCAGGAGGGTTGATGAATTCAAAAAGAGAAATCTGACCTCTCTGTAGTGGTAATGTCAATGAGGTAAGAAATTGCAGGCTTTCCTCTCCTTAGATGTCTAAGAATTAAAACATTTTGTAAAAGAGTGGAAACCATATTTTACTTCTGTAAAATCATAATCATTTTTCTCATTAACAGCCTCTTATTCTAGTATTTTTTAAGTGGTTTTCCTTGCTACCTCACTAGTAAAGACTACTAGTACATATTACACTGAATACACATATACAAGAAATTATTCTGGTACATTTATTTACCTTCTGTAGAAGCTAAGCTTGGAAAACCAGTGCAGACCACCACCAAATATTTGTAAAGGAAAGAAGGTATCAGCACTTCTCTATCTGGATCTCCCTGAAGTGAAAATAACCCAACTATCTATAGATAAAAATTGTCCTCCCCAACAAATGGTAGACAAGATTTTCCTATAATTAGCCCTTTTCCCCTGAAGGTCCTGTGAAGAAAGTGTTGTATGAAGAATTGCTTCAAAATAGACGATACAGATGACTGCACACTCAGCAGACACTCTAGAGAACAGCATCTGGGTCTCTGAACAGAAATATGAACGTAGCTATTGGTAAATTATGCCAAGGTCATATCGGATGCCATAGGATTTCATGTATCCATGGGGAAAATGAGCCATCACAAGCATTTTGGTGATTCACTTCATTTTCTAAACAGTGGTAACTCAACCCAAACTTAAACCTACTATCACCAGGAAATCACTACTTGATAACCTTGAACAAACATGCTCAAGTAGTAAACCTTTAACACTATACAAATTATTATAATACGCAGACACAATGCCCCAAATATAATTTTAACCTCTCAGGGAATGAGAGTTTTGCAAGGACAGCAAAGAATTCTTCTTAAAATGTTCTTTGACCATGCTAAAGAACAGACAAAGTCTGCATGTGTCAGGAAACTGGAATAAAAACACAAACAAAAAAACTCTAGCCCAATAAAATGACTCCTGGAAGGCAACTGTGAGCTCACCTACACTTTCACTCATTCAATGAAGAAATGAATGAATGGCCCTAGCCCCAGTAGCTCAGTTGGTTAAGACGGTCATCCCAATACAGGAAGGTCACGGGGTCCATCTCTGGTCAGGGCACATACAAGAAGCAATCAATGAATCCATAAGAAAGTGGAACAACAAACCGATGCTTCTCTCCCCTCACCTTTCTCTTTCTAAAAAGCAACAAATAATTTTTTTAAAAAAAGAAAGTAATGAATAACTTCTATGTTCTAGGCCACATTACCTCAAAACACAGAGATGAGGAAGACATGGCTTCTGCCCTGAAGAAATTCAAAGTCTAAAAATAATGTTTTAGAGTCCGAGTTATTTTACAGTAACATAGTATTAATAAAGATAGAAAAACATAAACTAATAAGATTAAATAGATGAATAAACCTAAGCTGAAATGAATGAATGCCTTCTACTGTGAGTTCACTAAAGAAATTTGTTACCCAATTTTTGGAACATGATTAAAGTTGTGATTTACTTTCAGAACAGGAATTAACTTATAACACCCGTTTTATAAAGGTTCCCCACCACCACCACCAAACACACTTTGTAAATTAGGTGTTTTTCGGCTTGACACGTAGGGCGTGGCACTGGAGTTCTCACACAACTTCCATGACACCTGGATGAGCTCCCACAAGTCTGGACATTCTGGTTTCCAAAGCAAAGGCCAGTTAACTCCTTAATTCTCCTTAAACCTTAAAACAACACTGCGAGATCACCGCCGCCCACTTACACACATATACCAGACTAATGCATACAAATCACACCTTCCACTTCTGGAAAACCTTTAGGAACGGACTACAGAGAAAACGCCCCTCAGTCAAAATACCTATATTCTCCTCTTCGTTTTAGGGGCTGGATTACCCGAATATGTGTCAAACTTGTGCAAGAAGCCCAGTTCAGTGCGGAAAATCTAACGACTTCAGTCTGAAAAAGCCATTCCTTTAGCTGATACAAAACCCTGATGGAGATGCTTCTGAAAAGCAACTGCTGTACAACAGCCAAATAGTCGAAAGAGAAGGAAGGAGGGGAAATGGGCGGAATGAGGCGCTGGGACTTCGGCAGCGGGGTCGCGGGCACCGCCCAGGAGGGGTCTCCCGAGCGAGCGTAGGGCCAGAGATGGGGTGACCCGCCGACAGGGTCAACTTGGAAAGAGTGCCGGGTGCGGGAAACCTCGCCTCAGTCGCCTGCCCTCGGAGATGCATTAGCCCTCCCAGCAGCGAGCACGGCGCCCGGATTCCATCCCAGGCTCGTCCCCGGGCAGAACGTGGGGCGTGAAGTTCCCCTAGCAAGCCCAGCAGCTGGGCCTCGAGCGGCCCCCACCCCAGCCCTCCATCGCTCACCTGCACCGCACACGAGTCCACCACCCCGAGGGCACCGGAAACCGCGCTAGCTGGCTCGAGCGAAGAGTCCACAGCCCCTGTCCGGAAGGCTCCGCGCCGGGAGCAACAGAGAGGAATCCGACGGGCGGCGGCAGAGGCTGGGAGGGGGAGGAGGAGGAAGATGAGGAGGCGAACTCAGTACGCCCCGCTCACAGGAGTTCCACCCTCCTCCGGGCTGCTCTGCGGCAGCAACCGTAGAGTACTTCCGGGGCGCTGGAGAGCGGGGCAGGCCGGCGGGGGGCGGGACTTCCTGTTTTGGGGCGTAGCCCTGAGTCCTGGGGACCCCAGCTGAAGAACAAAGGTCGGGAGGGTGGGGCTATCCAGCGTCTACCTTCTGCAGGATGCTGGCCGTCTCTGTTTTTTGTTTGGGCGGTCCCAACCTTAGGTCCCAATCTTAGAGGAAATCATGTCCCAGGAACCTGGTTGTGACTACGGCCTCGTGGAGTTTCCCCAGACCTCGTCGTCGGCGCCCCAACGTCCTTGTTTCTCTTCTGGGGACTAAGACGGTGTTCTTGGGGAAAGGAGGGAGACCCAAGGACGCCATCTTGCTTCTAGGGAGCAGCTCCTTCTCCTGGGGGCGACCTAGAGTGGAGGCTGCTGCCTTCTGCGGCCGGGGTTTTCTGGAGTGGAGCCTTCGGCGTGCCTCCTCGCTGGCTGAATTCTAGGAGTTGGGTCAGTCGCCTGCTCAGGCTAGAGGGTCTCGGTGGTTGCCTCGGACCTCACATGGAACTGCTGTGACTAGTCGCCTCCTGGGAAGGTCTAGAGCCTATTAAGAAGGGGCTGGAGCCTCCTAAGACACTGCAGGTGTGGTGTGGCCCCGAGTTCATCCTGCGGCCCCATCCCGTGATTTGGTAGCCTGAGTTGGAAGTAGTTCCACAAAATCAGTTGCTTTGTTTAAATCATTACACAGGTTCGTAATAGATCATTTGCCTAACATTTGTTAGCAGCTACAGAGCCTTAGCTCTTGACTGCACCCTGCCCCCACATTTGAGTACCAACTCCGTGCTTGGTATTACCCATTCAGTGGGTAGACAGACATGAAAACAAAATTTTAATTGGAAGTATACGGAGCAAGAACACATAACTTTACTATGTGTTAGATTTTAAAGGTAAATAGGGGTTTCCCTGCACACAAATAAGGAATGGGATAGCAAATATGATTCTAACAGGTCATACGGCACAGGGATAAATAATGTGTTAGGAAATCAAGAGTGGTAATTACAGGACTTAAATGTTCAAGCCTGAGTTTCTAAAAAAAATTGAGGCTGGAAAAGTAGAAGGCAAATCATGAGAACTCTTCCACAGTGAGGCAACGAATAATGACCCTGGATTCGTGCAGGCTGTAATCACCCTCTATACTTGTACAAGCTATGGGTGGGGGGACAGGTAATTTGGGAGGAGTGCTTGTAGATAGGAGGCCATTACAGGAATAAAGGATGAAAGTAATCATGCAAAGATGAATTCCTAAAATATTCAGGAGGCTAAATCGACTGATTTTGATAATTGATTGCGGGGGTCAAGTGCTGGGTTGAGAGGAGATTGGCAATGATGCCATTTTGCTTTTTGGGAAGGATAAAGGTAGGTTGTACCAAATGAGACAACAAACAGTGGGGATGGGATGGGAGATGGGGTGCAGTAAATGAGTGCCAGTTTGGACCTGGTGAGTTTGAGTACCAGCGGTGTGGTCACACTGCAGTTGCTACATGGATCTAGAGCTCTGAGAGAATCTAGGCTGAATTTAGGAAAACCCCAGTTTTGTAGTACCACATCCAGGCAAAGGGCAGTCTCTATTGAGCACAGTTTCAAAACCACTTCTCCTTTCTCCCTACATTTTGTTGGAAAAATTGCTAAAATTGTAACCATTGAAAAAATCCCCATGTGGTGATTTATGCCCATCCATAGACTAATAATACTCAAATGCTTAATGGTCTAAGGATCATAAAGGTTAGGCTTACAGGGAACTGAATATGGCAATGTTAACTAGGATAGCAGCATAAACTCATAAAATGTTATTTTAATAAAAAGTTTTTTAAGTTTGCTTATTGACATTAGCTTAGTAAAGCTGGCCACAGTTAAAGGATTCAGAATGGCAAGTTGTGCAAATAACTGCTGAATGAAGAACTAGAAGGAGGATGACTTCAAGAATGAGCAATGGGAACACAATGAAAGACAACTTTAAATTCATTAGCCTGTTTCGGTTGTGTCTTGGTTGTCACAGCTGTGCTAACCTGGCTTAAAGCAGTCAGAAATAGAATGGATCACTTTGAACAGAGGCTTCAGAAACCACAAATAGTAAAAACCCTGCAAATAATAGCTACAGTGTAAAAAAAATTACTAGTTCTTATTCTTTATTTTTATAGAGCAGCATTTTGAACACAAAAAATAGGGAACTCTCACTTTTAGTTCATAGATTATTCAAGTGCATTCTCAATTTTCCTAGAGTAAAAATACATTTAGGTATATTAACCATTTAATGGATAATGTACTGAAATAGAAATGAGAACAAGGATTGTGAGTTCCTTTTTTGTTTTGTTCATTGTATAACTCTAGCAAAGCCACTTAACCTCTCTGACCTAGTTTCTTTGATACTAAGATAGAGAATAACTTTCTACCAGCCTGCCTCTCAGAGACATTGTAAGAAATAACAAATTAATGCTTTAAAAGCTCTTTCTAGGTGCTTGGATGAATAGGCATAATTGTAAGTACATATTAATATTTAGCACCAATTTCCAGTAGAACTCATGAGCATTCCTAAATTTGTTGCCTGGGCAACTCAAAGATAATGAAACAAAGAGTTCTGTTTTAAAATATGCTTAGATTTCTTGACTTGTGAGTTTAATTTTTATTTATGAACAAACCTTATGTATTAAAAAAGATAGATTGAATAAAAAGTAAAATTTTAGTAACTACAATTCTTATGTTCACTGCTACTTAGAGGTAATATATGCTTTTGGGAGAAGTATAAGGTAGGTATGCTTTTGTTACAATCATATTTTAGAACTCACAATTAGTTTATTATAGTTCTCAAACTGAAATTTTATGTTAAAAGCATTACTCATGTCTCTATTATGAATAATGAGAAATTATCTGAAACATGAAGGTGAACATTCCTGTTAAACTTCTGTATTCTCATCATTGTTTAATCAAAAATACAATATAAAACATGTAGTCTTGTGTGGTTAGCCTAATATCTTATCTATGTAAGAAACATCCAGACATGTAGAAAAATTTTATAAGATTTTATTTGAGCTAAACTGACAACAGTTGATGGGCAGCAAGATCTCAAGTGCTCTGGAGAATGACAATTAATACAGTTTCTTTTATACATTAAAATTTTTGGGAATGTAAGATTACATGAAACTGGGAGAAAAGTGGAGATTTGACCATTTATGTCTATAATGCTCCCCTTCATGTCTACCCTTGTGGACCACATATTTCTATAATTCTGTCAGGTGATTAGAGGATGAGACTACAAAAATAATGGTTCCCAAGTGTTGCTGCTTTTTAGAATCACCTGTCAAGGAAATTCAGATTCTCAAGTCCTATTCTAAACTTTCAGTTAGATGTCTTGGGTGAAGCCTAAGGCATCTGTACTTATAACACCCTCCTTTGAATTCAAGTTTGGTTTCAGTAACTTATCCAAGGTTATGGAGAACTCTAAATAGAGCCAGAAATTAACTGAAATCTTACGAGTCAAAGTTAGAGATCTTTCACTGGATGTTTGCTGTTCTTTACCTGACTACCTATGATGGGTGGGATGGGAAGGTGGAGAGGAAAATAGCAATTTTATTTTTAAGATTTTATTTATGTATTTTTAGAGAGAGGGGAAGAGAGGGAGAAAGAGAGGGAGAGAAAACAACGATTGGTTACCTCTTGCAAGCCCCCAACTGGAAACCTGTACTGCAACCCAGGCATGTGTATCAAACAGGAATCTAACTGGTGACCTTTTGGTTTGCAGGAGGACACCCAACCCACTGAGCCACACCAGTCAGGATTATTTTTTATTACTATTTTAAAACCATATTCTATTACATGGTTTTAAGATAAAATGAGTTAACATCTGTAGAGTGCTTAGAACAGTATCTGGCACATGGCAACTACATATAAGTGTGAACGAGTAAAGCCTTCATTGTCTAATTACAGCATTCACTTTGCCCGGAGTTAAATTAGGTAAAATTGTATTAGATATAAACATTTCCTATGTAGAAAAAATTGTATGTAAATAATGGTGGAATCCTCTACCATTTTTAGTCATGGAATCCCTGAATTTGTATAGCTGGAAATATTTCTATATTGTTTCTTTTAATCTTTTTTGATATATGAAGAGAAATGTTGATAATATACTTATTGAATAAATTTTTGGATTTGCAACTGTTTGGATTTACAGTGTAGTATTTTTATATCCTTTAAGATGTAATTATAGTTTATATGCATGGGATGATGTATTTTACATTATTTTGTCACTGCACTAGCTCCAAAATTGATTCTTACTGTTTATGTAATCAAGTATGTTTTAGAAGCCATTTGTATATATCTTTCAAATTAAATATGCCTCTTGAATGAGGTAGTAGATATGTTTGATTCTATTTAATTTTCCTACTTGTACAAGTTTCTTTATAGTCTTTGAACCTTGAACAAGTTTTTATTCTTGCTAACTATAAATAAAATTATGTATTTTCATCATTGGTAAAGGAAGAGCCCAGTTCAATATTTTTAAGGGCTCTTTAGTATATTTTGACAAAGTCTGAAAATATGTCTTTGGTCAGTATCTGTCACTATGAAAATTGATACCCATTTTAATTTTTGTTCAATTGTATAGGTTGCATTATTTTTTTCATATACCCAGCATCAATTTCTAGTGACTTTTGTATTCTTCTCTGTGGGTGTACACACACACACTGAATACCTTCATATCTTCATGCTGAATACTAATTTAGTCTTTAATATACTTCATTAAAATGAATTATTCTATCATTCTATCAAGGGTAGACTTAGGGATAGACCAGACAGAAGGTATTTATAAAGTCAGGAGGAATCTGGTTAAGTAGAGGGGGTTAGACCAGAAGGAAGAATTAGATGCCCTCATCGGTGAAGCAGCTATTTGAGTCCAGAGTCAACTAAGAAAGGGAATTAAATTAATATTGAATATTTACTAGATTTCAGGCTTTGTACCAGGCACCTTACAAAATAAGGAA